AGCTACACACATTATTTTACACTTACAAATAAAGATCATCCGGTCATATCACGCTTCCTTCCTCGTAATCGAATCTCGTGCAGTTTTCTATACAAAGAATAACCCATTGGTCAAAAATTTAGAGAAAAGATACATTTCAAAATCAACCAACTTGATGACTGCAAGGGCTTGTTTGGTGTTAAAACTCCGATATCCTTCCAAGACACTCTCAAACATCTCTTCAGAGTCTATATGGGTACTGATCATTGCTCTCTCCAAAACATACAGATCTACTCCCTTATCTTCAGGTAGCACCTATAAAGTATTTTATGACTTTGCATCAAGCTGGGACATGAGAGAACATTCCCTACGAAATATGTGCATAAATTCTCTGATGTCTCTCTAACTAGCGCTAATAAAACCGAAAGTGATGACATCAAGAATAAAACAAACAAGTTGAAAGAAAAAACAAAAATTTGTACAAACAGCTAACCTTGCCTAAAGAAGATAACCCGAAATCAATGAATATGGGTTTTTTGAAATTATTATCTTTAACAATAACATTTGACGTGGTAAGATCACCGTGTACGAGATTTCCAAGATGCATTTTTGCAACGGCCTCTCCCAATGCTTTAGCAAATTCCAAATTATCAGCCTTAATGTGAGTTATGCGATAAGGAAGAAGAAGAACTAAAAAGTACCGAGGTCTAAAACTTACTACAAACTGTGCAGAATCGCCTTCTTTGAGTCGCCGCGATTCTATCCAGTAATTAGCAGTACATCCTTCAACTCGCTCCATAATGATTTTGTTATTATAGGCGTCAACAAAATAGACTGCAGGAGTAGCTACTCCTAACTGCAAATTCAAATTGATGAGGAGACAGTATAGAACAATACTTCTGAAAAGTAAGATTATGTATAATAATCTGCTGAATAAATTAACCTCTTTGGCCTTTACAATTCCTTTAAGCTCATTTCGCATCCTAGTCTTATTCAGCTGCTGATCGAGATCGGGATGTCGGTACTTTTTAGCAAACCTACGCAAAAAGTAGCTTTACATCCT